TCCATTGTTACTTAACACTTCCATTGTTGATGGAAGTGTTAAGCCTTAATCCTGTCCCTCTCCCCCGTGGGGAGGAATTTCGAAAATTCCCTTCTTAGTGTGCGTTCTCCTAACGTACCCTAACTGTGTACCAAATTTCAACTTTCAACTCCTAACCGTTTGGGCTTGTATCCATAATGTATATAGAAGTTTTAATCCTGTCTCTCTCCTCCCCGGGGGGGAATTTCGAAAAATCCCTTCTTCTTAGTGTGCGTTTTCGTGACGTACCCTAACTATGTACCAAATTTCAACTTTCAACTCCTAACCGTTTGGGCTCTGCGCTGATTATTATTATCATCAACCCATCTCGATTATATATTAGATATGTTTTGTTTGGTTAGTAATGTTAGTTTATCAATGTCTTTAAACTTTACAGATATAGTTGAATCTGTTATGTTGTCATTTTTATTTAATTAATTTTGTTCTTATTAAACAGTTGAATCATTTCAGATGTATTTATATAATAATATTTATTTTCATTCTTTTTTTCTTTTTAAACAAAGTGATATGCATAGAACTGGCTCCAAATACAAAATTTAGTTTTAAAGTTTTATCTGATGATGTATTGTATATTTGAGTTGCATTTGGTATGGTAAATATCTTTTCAAAGACTTTGAAAAGATAAAAGACTGATAAATGTGTAAATTTAAAGCTAAAAATGCAATTTTCTTACCATACCAAATGTAACTCAAATGTACAGTACATTACCAAATAAAACTTTAAAACTGTATTTTTCCTTTTTTGGATGCTTCTGTATGTGCCACCCAATAAGAGATTGAGAAAAATTCTAAGATAAATTTTTCATATCTACGAATAAGTTATATTAGAAAAGCATTTTTTATCAATTATATAAGTAGTAACAGATTCATCCTAAAAGAATAATACAGCAGTTCCCAACCTTTTTATGACTTACATACCCTTGGCAGTTTATTTTCCAAAGTTTTATTTACCATTTCCCATTTTTGCTAAGTTTTATTTCATGTGTTCATCAAGCAATACCATCTTGATCAATTATGCAGCATTGCAATTACATTAAAGTTTTTTTTTTTTAAGACCTCAACATAAAATCCAAATATTCTTATAGTACATCTGTCATTATTAATTTTTTTAATGTACCCTTGGGTATGTGAAAAACACCAGTTGGAAATCACTGTGATAATGCAGCAATTGATCTTGTTTGTTATTAATGATATATTGTAAAAGCACTATTACATCAGTTTAATTTTCATCCATATAAACAAGAAGAGTTTCAAAGAAAAGGAAGATATGATATTATTATTATGTACAATACAATAGATTTGAAATATATTTAATAAGAATTTATCATCAGGTGGTAGTGATGGTGGTGATAATATTTTTATGATTATTAAATTGTTGTAAAATGACTATTATTACTATCCATTCATGATTTTGAATTTTGTCAGTAAAGAAAAATTCAAAAAGTTTCAGAATTTTTCTTTTCAAATCTGATCCTTTGTCTACAGATCAGGAAAGATTGTAGAAAAAGGATCAGATTTGATGATAAAATTCAAATATGTATGAATACAATTTTTTTGTTATAATTCAAATTGTTAGAAAGATATCATAATAAACACTTTAAGTAAATATTAATGTATATCAAATGTTAGAACTTAATATCATTTTTTTTTTTTGTATGAATATGATGTAAGCTATAGAAATGTCAAAAGTAGTAAATATGTCACATTGTCAAATATTAAAAAAAGTTATGTATAGTCTCTCTCACGGCCAGCTAGTACAAAGTTCACATATAAGCATCCATCAAGTACAAAAATTGCCTCTTCTGTGCCTAACTAGTTCAGGGATTGCTTCTTTCTTTCCAGTTCTATCTCAATTTTATAGTGATATGACAAACTCTTGCAAAGCTCTAGTAAATTTTTTTGTTATATGGAAGGAATAAGTTAAACGTTGTCATGATAGGATCCATATATCACCTATCAGAAATATGAAAGTGTCACCATCTATTGGAATAATATTTTATTTTATATTATGTAGTTAAAATACTATAGTTATCACTTTTCTATAGTAGATGTTACTGTTGTTTTACTTTGTATACTTTACCTAACAGTATATCTAGTAAACATTTATTTAACTCTTTTGACTTTACAAACTTTCAGTTCCCTGTTCAAGGTTAAGTTGTAATTTATGCTTAGTCTGTGTGTATATCACATTACAGAGTAGTCAGCAAACTTACAAAAATATTACATATTGCACCCTGGCTTCATAAGTGACACAACTAAAAATATAGGTTTGTAGAAAAATGCAAGAAACTGTTTTTGAACATAACAACACATTATTTTGTTAATTAGATTATTCAGCCAGAATAATAATGCTCCTAAAATCAGGATCATTGGTGGATTTTTCATTTTCAGTTTTTAATGCTTGCATTTTTCTAGAAACCTTCATTTTTTCATTGTCACTTCTGAAGCAAAAGTGAAATATATGTAAGTAGTATGTACCAAATTTATAAGAATTTGTATAAGTATATAGAAGTCACAGTAATAACCTAGAAGAGTCACATGTGGCTCATAAGCTACAGTTTGGTGAACATGTGCAATGTATCTGATATATTCACAGTTAATGTGTTGTGGGTCATTATACATAGTAATTTGTCAATATAATCCAGAAATGTTTGTTATTCAATATATTTTATAAATGTAACTCAGATTCCATATAGTTATAAATCATTGTCACAAAACATATATCTTCTGTTAATTATACATATTATTTTTAATACATTAGAGTGAAAGCTAGTAACAAAGCATACTAGGTAATATATTAGGCTGTGATTGAAATTTTAATAGTCCATATTACCAACATGCTTATTTTAAAATTTTTTGTTAAACAAATATTGAATTTGTAATATTTATTTTATAGTGTCACACAGAGCGAATCAGCTCCAGTTTTTCGGCGTACACGAAGTGTTCATAAAGCTCCAAGGAGTATCCACAGTACAGCTCATAGAAGTGTTCCGCCTGGATTAAAACAGGGTGAAGTACGTAATTAACAACATATAATATTTGATATAATACTTTATATTAATTTTCTTTTTAATGTTCTAACTAGGTGACATATGCTACGCTTCCTCGGGCTAGTAGGACAAGAGTTAGTAAAAAACGAACTATTAAACCGTCATGATAAGAAAAGCACAAGACAAGCTGGTCAATATTATTTGTTCAACAAGAGTATTGTCAGAAGTATTTTGTTACTTTACAATAATTTATTCAAACACTTCACATTCTGCATTCTTTTAAATGGCATAATTTTTGTTATAAAGGCATTCCACCAGTTTGATTATTCAAGTGAGACGACGAAGAATTGAACTTTTAGTAGTAAAGAAGTGCTCAGAAATTATTTTATTCAGAATCTTAAATTCTGGTGTGGTGCCTTTTATAGACACTTAAAAGTGCTTTGCAATGATAGTAAAATACATTATAGTATAATTGCAAACTGCTCCACAAGAAGACATGATGGGTAGCAAATCAACTGTATTAAAAGTTATTTAAGAAAAAATTTACCTAAAATACAAGTTTAGGAATGTTTAAAATTATTTGGAGTGTTAATGTTGAGAGTTTACAGAAATTTTGCATTGTGTCACTGTGGTGCCTTAAACATGCTTTGAATATCCTTTTCCAAACTGCCTGAATGAGATTATTAACTTATAGTTTATAAAAATTGTTGAATTATCTGTTTTGAATTTCCCCAGTTTTAAAAATTATGTTTTTAGTAAGATATTGCTTGCATTGTTAGCACCTGTTTGCAAGCTAGCAATGTCACAGCATTATGTAATATTCAATATGTTTTTAAATCAGGGAAGTGAGTGTTATATAAAGTTCCTTGGTAAAAAATTCCTATGTCTCCAATGCTTTAAATAAATAGATATTTTTTAAATATTGTGCCAAAATCAAAATGTTTTTGTTGCTTGATTCTTTTGAATGCATTTATTTGTTAGAATGAAATAAGCATTGGAATTTTGCAAAATTAAAAATTTATATACTAAAATTTAAAAGTACTAATAATACTTTATTTTGAAAATGTAATGTTTAAATTTTGCTGAAAAAAGCTATGTAAAATCATAAGTTACATTTAATAATAATTTAGAATGCTAATTAAAAATTGTTACATTTATTATAATTAAATATTTATGAAATGTTTTTGTCTTCTACATGAAAATTATGTAGAAGACCTAAGTGATGTATCAAAGCATGTATACTTGCCAAATCTTTCATATCAGTTGTGAGCAATAAAATAACTTAAAACAAAAGAATTAACAGAAAGAATAACAACATTTGTTAACATAAACTGAGCATCTCAAAATCTTAACAAAAGCTTCAATGTATTTTTCAATTTACACAAATTTTTTTTTTTTAAGACATTCCATGACCTGTATTATTTTTCCCACTCCCACTCTTTCTCCAATATACTGTATATGTATACACATTCTTGTCTGTGATTTGTTTTAAGAATTATTAAATATTTCTTGAATATTTATAGAGCACGTTTTATAATTTTTTGACGTTACTTTCATTTTACACAGTTGAATAGTATTACTTTGTAACTGGGTAATTAGTTTTGCTACAGGTATTATTTACAAAAAAGGAATGTAAATTAAATAGGAAAATAAGCTACCCTTGTATCAAATTGAAATTTATTGGAAGTTTTGTACAGAAAGCTTCATCCTTTCGGATGCTGTGTATATTGATTCTTAAGTGTGATGAATAAATGTGAATATACAAATGCTTTTATCTATTTATTTGTTTTGTAGAATGTTTTATAAATAGTATCATGAGATTAAATGCATTATGATAAATATAAAAATTTATTCAAATAACATAACTTACATTATTATATTATTTCCTTCATTATTTCTTTATATCTTTTTAAAACAGATAATGCAGTTGGTCTTTTATGAGGCAACTCATTTTTACATTGTTTATGAATATCAAAAAGCATAAACTTAATAATATCACTATCTCTATTGTAACCAAGAAGTTTGTTGCAGACATCTGGTATTTTCCAGATATCGGTCTTTTCATCGTAATGGGGCATGAGTTTATCCTCAAATTCTCTATTTATATGTGGCCACCGTTGTTCGGGTGCTACAAAATTACCAGTCAGCCTGCTATGTCCACATTTGATTTTCTGCCCTATCATGTGATCAACTTTTGGCAGTGCATCTAAATCATTCAATATTAGACGAAAATCATCAGTTAAAAGATATTGCGATAAAGTTTTTGTTAAACTACTCGAATCACACATTACTCTAGTACCAGAAGGACTATTGTGTAAAAATGCAATTATTTTACTGTAATGTATACAAAATGAGAATCTAGTTGTTACATTTATCCAATCAAATTTTTTTTCTAAATTGTCTATGTTTAAAGCATTTCCTAATTTATGATATTCTGTTATAATGGTATGATTACAATAACCAATTAATTGCACAATATTCTCATTGGGACTAAATTCTTTTAACATATTTATGTGATGATCAAAATCTGTTTTGTACAAAGGACATGATAAATTAGACAAAACAACAACTTTTCCTAACCACTCGGCTAAAAATATCTGTAAATAAATATTCTTTATTTTAACTTTACTTCAATGCTAAATTTATTTAGTTTTAATCCTGATACTAACACATTAATGGAAGAGAATGACTGTGTTCAGCAGACAACAGTTGTAACTGAGCAAATCGGTAGCTGTTACGTAGCAACCCAGATCTGCTGAATGACGAGTGACATTGTGTTGGAACAAAAAGCCTCATTGGTCAGTTTCAGGTAGTGCTAGGAAGTGTAAATGAAAGATGCTACCAAATGTGACATAAAAACATGTTCCAAAAGAGTGCCCTCTACAGTAGTGCTTTTTCGGAACATGTTTGGCATTTCAGTAGAAAAATACTCAACAGTACTGGAATTGTTTAGTCTGCTGAATGCAGCCATTGTTTTTCACAACACTGACAATTATAATGTCTAAAATCAGTGTATATAAAATTCTTCCATCAACATGAAAGCTATAAATTATTAAATATTAACTTACATTTTTTACTACACCTCGAACTAATAATCTTAACGGTCGTACTTCTTGAATATTATCACAAGTCAGCAAGCGGCAACAGCTCTCCATCCCGCTCAGGCTAAAACTGCCTCTGCTACACGTCGGCCGACACTTAATCTTTCCATTATCCGTATAATCAATCCAGCAAGTTTCATAATTCTCCAAATTTACTCTTTGTATGAAAACATCAAATAAGTAAACGGCTAAAATGCACACAAAACCAGAAGTAACAATGATGATATTCTTGTACATGTTTCCATATAATTTCATACCTGAAATTTTAAACATAGCCAGTTAGAAATTTTAAAAATTTAGCCTATTAGAAAAGACATTATTTAGTTACTCACTGAAAATTTTCAAATCTCTGTAATGATTATTTTAATTTGACTTCAAAGTCATTTGTGTATCATATTTTAAAAATTCGCCATTAAAAACACTATCATGAGGTTAATATTTTGCAAGAAACGTCATAATGATGATTTGTAGATATTCAAAAGTCATAATAACATCAATCAATAATATACTTTTATGTGAGGATAAACATTAAATGATAATACAATTTTAAACAAATATTTCTATTCATAAGCTAATATATACACTTTATTTTTGAAATCGCGTGGAGTATAGAAGGATATGTCTAAAAATGCAAACAAAATTTAACTTTATCGAAGTACAAACTCAAATGTCAGTCATGTAGCCATTTCTGTGATGACAGCGCCACCTCTCTGAAATGATCGAATACTATTATTTCGGTAAAATTCTAAAATTAGTCGTTTTATTTATCAAATATAAATAAATTAAAAATTTATATCTTTCGAGTTATTCGCAGATTTCGGGAGTTTTTTCATTTAAAATAATTTTAAATGAAAAAGTTTAGTCATCTGGTGATATTTAAGTTAAGTTTCGAAGTGAACTGATTGACAAATAAAAACTAAAGGGCCCATACACGTTAAGTAAATCCTTTGAGGTTGCCTGACCTTGAGGAACTTCAGAATTTCCTATCGCCCACACACGAAGAAGAAAATATCTCAGCAGAGGCGTAGCTAGGGTGAGGCAAGTAGGGCACGTGCCCTACTTGCCTCACCCTAGCTACGCCTCTGCTGAGATATTTTCTTCTTCGTGTGTGGGCGATAGGAAATTCTGAAGTTCCTCAAGGTCAGGCAACCTCAAAGGATTTACTTAACGTGTATGGGCCCTTTAGTTTTTATTTGTCAATCAGTTCACTTCGAAACTTAACTTAAATATCACCAGATGACTAAACTTTTTCATTTAAAATTATTTTAAATGAAAAAACTCCCGAAATCTGCGAATAACTCGAAAGATATAAATTTTTAATTTATTTATATTTGATAAATAAAACGACTAATTTTAGAATTTTACCGAAATAATAGTATTCGATCATTTCAGAGAGGTGGCGCTGTCATCACAGAAATGGCTACATGACTGACATTTGAGTTTGTACTTCGATAAAGTTAAATTTTGTTTGCATTTTTAGACATATCCTTCTATACTCCACGCGATTTCAAAAATAAAGTGTATATATTAGCTTATGAATAGAAATATTTGTTTAAAATTGTATTATCATTTAATGTTTATCCTCACATAAAAGTATATTATTGATTGATGTTATTATGACTTTTGAATATCTACAAATCATCATTATGACGTTTCTTGCAAAATATTAACCTCATGATAGTGTTTTTAATGGCGAATTTTTAAAATATGATACACAAATGACTTTGAAGTCAAATTAAAATAATCATTACAGAGATTTGAAAATTTTCAGTGAGTAACTAAATAATGTCTTTTCTAATAGGCTAAATTTTTAAAATTTCTAACTGGCTATGTTTAAAATTTCAGGTATGAAATTNAGATGTTTTATGAAAACGGAAGAAATGAATTGAGAAGTTTTCTAAATATTAAAATTATTTATAATTTTAATTTACTCGAGAAATTTTTGATCTGAAAATAATTTATAACCTGAAAAATTAATTTTTTAGGTTATAAATAATAAAAGTTAATAAGGTTATAGAAAATAATTCTTCCAAACATTCAAGAGACATTATTCTAACTACTCAGCGGTCTCACAACTGAACGACCCAACGACATACACGTTAAGGTCGGCCTGGGCAGTCTGACACTGTGCAGGAAAATCAAATGGTTTTTCGATTTTACTCCGGTGGTCGGTACAGTTCGCCAAAACTGTTAAATTTTCCCCCACACACTACCAGGAATTACTCAAGGTCAGGCATGCACGGTTAATCCTCAAAGGATTTACTTAACGTGTATGGGCCCCTATAATATCTTCATATGAACCAGGGAGGAGACGAAAGAAAGAAAGATTGACAAATGATAGTGAATTCTATTGTTTTGTTATTACAGTTAGTGAAGAATATTTTAAAATAGGCTACCTAATTTCTACTTCCAAGAGGGCTTTTTTCTGCACGACCATTATAATTTCGGCTAGATCCACAATGGGCCCGACATATTCAAAACAGACCATCCTTCGAAAAATGCCTGGAGTTTATCCGGATTCGTTTCCGGATTCGATAAGAGCTGTCCGGATTCGTTTCCGGATCGCAGAGAATGATAGGCTGACACCTTAACCCAATGGTTTTCAATCGGAATGCCGCGAAATAGTACTGAGCAGTAGTAGAATACCGAAATAGTACTTTTACTAATGCAGGTGAGAAATTAACATTTCTCATCTGCATTACTAAAAGTACATAAATAACGGTAACTCCATAATAACAAAGATGTAAAAGGTGCCGCAAGAAAAAAAAAAATATCGTTGAAGGTGCCCAAGGACTTTAAACTACAAGGATAGCCAGATCCCGTATATTTGTTAGCGTGACCTTGGATCTATGTGACGTCACAGCAAGCCCTCTACTTCAACATGACAGATCTTTCAAATAACAAAATACGATAAAATATTAAATCATTTCTTAATTAATTATTAAATTACTACTAAATGTAAACTACTGTAGAATTTTCGGATTTAATAAGTGTACTGTACGTCAATAAATTTACAAGTCTTTTGTCTAATATTTATTTAACAAATTAATGAGCTATATTTTTTATTATGTGATTATCTTACTTAACTTTTTAATTTTTTTTCGACAATCACCATTTTCAGAAGGCATTCTTTTCAATATTTTATAGTTTTCTTGTTTAAGATTTCTATAATTAATTCTTATTATAGTTCTTAATTTACAAAAATCTTTTATTAAAGTAAAAGGTAAAACTGTTTCCACTGACTAATTCTGTACAACTCCGGGGCCTTTTTTATACGATTCATCGTGATATATTTCGAAATATTTATTCCATTCTATAATTTTTGCTAGCCATTCATCAGTAGGTTTAATAAGCCCTCCATAAGATAAATGTTGCACCCATGACGGAATGCTATAGTTGTAATGATTTTTAATTTTGTTAGTGGAATTAATTAAGTTTGGGTATTTTTCTTTATATTTATAGGCAAAATATCCTGCTATATACTCGAGAGCATCGTAGGAAGTTTCTTCAGAGATTGTGTTAAAGTCTAGATTGCATGTAGAGTTTCCTGAAGATTTATTTGAAGAAAAAGTAGTTTTACATTCAGTATATTGGTCTGTATTTTCACTTGATACTTCTACATGTGCTTTCTCTAAAACTTTGGGTATAATATATTCCTCTTGTCTTCGATCTGTAGTATTTACTTTTGACTCTAAAATACCAGGATTCTTACCTAAAATAATCAATCTAATCCTATATATAGCATTTAATGGGCTTGGATGTTCATTAGGACCCCGGCTTCTAATTTGAAAAAAAAAAATTTTTTCCAGACAATCTTGATTTAAGTGCAGATGTATTTTATATCAAAAGTCGATTTCATATCTTGAAAAAGATCAATTAGCGATTTCATTGAGATTATCATTCCTTTCTGGAAAATTTGGAGGGCATTTTTTCCACTTGCTCTCATTGTTGAGATTATTTTTATCATTTTATTTAAATGTTCTTCTTGTAATTCCAAGTCTACACCATATCCATTTTTGCTTGGAACAGAACCTTTTGGTGCATAGCTATTAAAAATGTCGAACCACATATTTATATCTCTAATATACGTTTCATTGATAATAATAATTGATTCATAATAAACGTTTCATTGATATTCACATTCAATTCTTTCCATAAACTTATGTTACTGCAACTACAGTCACTGACGCAAGCTACTACATTATACGATAGTAAATAAAGTTCTGCTATTAATTTTAAAAGTATTTCTCTTGTCATTTTTTGATCAAACCCGATGTAAACAGGTTGCTTCCAATTTGAAAAAAGAAGGTTATTATTGCAACCATACACAGCACACCTAGTACTCAGCATTTTGTTCTTCACCTAACATAAAAATATAGCTTTAAATATTTAATGACTTATATTTAAATCATCTTACCTTATAAAAAACTTAGTCAAATAAAACAATTACAGAAATATTAAAATAAATCACTTCGTTAATCACAAAATTGGACGAATATTAAAAGCGAAAACTAAACACGTGCACACCCTGCTCTATGTAAACAGAGAGGTCAGGTCGCGTGCTGACGTCACTAACTTGGCATTCCTGGCTAACATTGTAAAATAGGGATCTGGCTATCCTTGTAGTATATAGTCCTTGGAAGGTGCCACTATTCAAAGAAAGGTTGAAAAACACTGCCTTATCTACTCGGTCATCCGGCCCGTCAACAATTATAATCACCATATTGTTTATCTCCCAAATCAGGACAGTTTATAAGAATCACATAAACTGTCTAAAAATTTCTAAACAGATCATTTTCAAATATATATATATATAATTTATCGACCTAAAAATTGAATATATTGCATTAAAATTGGTTCTATTTGAAATTTTAATCTAGTTTTTAGGGTTAAAAACAGGAGAAATCCAGGACTCTCGGACAAACTAGAACATACCGGTACGTTAAATAAATAAAATTCCTATTGTCTTAATTTCATCTAAATTGTAAGTTTATATATTTCTTTAGTAGTAAAAAAGTATTTATTTTTTATTTTTTGGAGTCTTCGGAACGAATTAATCAAATTCCCATAAAAACCTATGGTAAATCGATAATCGGTTAACAAACAATTCGGATAACGAACGGATTACGTTCGTTAACTTATCATCCACTGTATTATGATAAAATCTTTAATTAGTCTTTAAAAGTATAGTAATTTTAATTTTTCCAACGATTTTTAATGTTCTATACATAATTTTAAAAATTATTTTATACAAATTATACAATTCTGTCAATTTCCATAACATAGAATATTTGTGAAAATAAAGAAATTCTAATTAATTAAACTTTATAGCGGTGCGAATTTTATATGGGATATAATGTATACAGTCGACCCCCTATAAGATAGAGATACGTTCCATTCTCTAGAAATCCGCTTTCTTACGAATCCTTCCAATCACAACCCGACACGTGTCAAGTTTACTGACTACGGCTGTTTGAAAGATTTTCTTCCATAAAATTAATCGATTCTAGACTAATCCGACTCAACATTTCCAAAATACGTATATATTTTTTGGGAATAATCCGTATAAACTACGCTATAAACAAAAAATTGTAGGATTACTTACCGAGTGTCACCATTCGACATTGCCATTGCTCAACATTGTTTTCGTCGCGGAACAGCTCAGCAAAGAG